GCTTGCGTAATAGCCGACAGAAGCTTCCCGTCAGCGCTCCGGTCTGCGGAGCAAAGGCCACATGGCAGCCACTCGGATCTGCCCTCCGGCCGGGTGCGTCCGTTAGAAGCGGTACCTGGTCCTGGGTGGAGCTGAGAGGTTGGGCCCCTCAGGTACGAGTGATTTCCAGATGGGTCGTGGTGGGTGGCAGTCAGCTCTGTCAGGCGGCTAAGCGGCAGCCCCAAACCACAGCTGCCACCATTATAAGCTGTGCTGTGTCTGTCCAGACAGAGCACAGCACTGGGCACCCGGTTTGTCCCTGTCTGGGTTCCCGTGGGAGGGACGGAGCCCATGCTTGTGGGTCGGGTCAGGGCCACGGTAAGTCTCTGCTCCCTGTTGGGTCTAATGGACGGGACCTCACCTTCCTCTGGTCACTGTGTTGATGGTGTCAGGCTGGGCGGAGCTGGTGGGGCATGAGTGGTGTGAGCTGTGGATGCCCCCTGAGACGTGTGCGTCTGCCACATCACTGAGGTTTGGGGGGACTGGTGGTCTGGGGGAGTTAGAACACCCCTACAAGGCCAGGCCGCTGCTACTGCACCTTCCACCCCCTAGCTAGGAAGCCTCTCGATACCCCCATGACCTGCCCACTCTTCTGCAACCTCCTCCCTGTGAGTGGGGCTGGCTGAGGGACTTGCTGCTAGTGAACCAAATGCAGCAAAATGATGGGGTGTCCCCTCTGAGGTTAGGTTACGAGACTGGGACTCCACCATCTCTGGGCCCCTCTTGCTCGCTTGCCCCGGGGGAAGCCCATGCCGTGCTCCAAGCCTCCCTGTGGGGAGGCCCACGGGGCAGGTGACTCAGGGAGGCCTCTGGCTGACGGCCAGCGAGGAGGTGACCCTCGGCCCCACGAGCTTCGAGGGGCAAATCCTCCTGGTAGCGACGTCCCCCAGGCCAGCCTGCCCAGGAGGCTGTAGGAAAGGATGGAGAGGATGGAAAAATCCCAGTTTTTTCCAATCACCTCTGCCCACAGACCTGGCGGCCGCCTTGACCCCACCTTTGTGGGAGCCCTTCTGGCCAAGGCACAGAGCTAAGTCGCGCCCGTATGCCTGCCCTGCGGAGACTGTGAGCTACTAAATGTAGTTTTCAGCTGCTAAATTTTGTGCAGAAACAGAGAACAACGCAATCTTCCGTCACGAAGAAAGAGCCCCGCTGCCCATGCTTGGCCCCTTCGGGTTGCAGGCAGCATAGACCACATTTAGTATGACCACCACCCATTTATGGGCTGGTTTTGAGCGGGGCCCAAAGCAAGAGATCCAGTTTGTAGTACAAGTGGTCCCGCACTTGGGTCACATAACCTGGAAGATCCAACAGTGCTAGAGGCGCACGCGGTGAGTGAGACCCTGGCAGCGGGCGGGGTGGTGTCTGGCACAGGCCCCCAGAGTGTGGAGCGAAGCCAGGCCTCTGCTGCAGAGAATCACACGCCAGGCTAAGAAGCTCCAGGGCTTAGTAGAGACGGAGCCCCTGACCGGGGGCGTCATGTTAGCACGTGACTGTGAGGCCCTGGGTCAGGGCCCTGCTCCACTGGTCAAGGTCGTTTTAAGACTGCATGTCCTCCAAGCGGCATGGACCCTAAACGATGAGATGCTCGCCTGCGTGGTTTTTCAGGAACTTGGAGTCAGTTGTGTCTGGTTCCAGCTGAGCTGGTTAAGAACGGATGGGAGGACCACCGACCCTCCAATGGCCATGGTCCTCTCCGTGACCTTCTGACGTCAGAGAGCTGAACACTCCACCCTCCAGTCCGTGCTCCCATCTTTGAACGTGCAGAGGCCTGTGGCTCAGCTACACCTTTGCGGAACGAGATTATCCCAGGTTTTTCCAGTCGCCTCTGCCCACGCCCCCGCCCTTCCCAGGCCTCAGACCGCCCTGCTTCTTTATCCCGTAAATACCCTGAGCCCCTTGCCTTCAGGGAGGTGGAGCTGAGGCTTGTTCTCCCACCTCCTTGCTTGGCTGATTTCCTGCAAACCGCAGCATCTCAGCGTTTCGGCTTGCTGTGCTTCGGGCAAAATGCACCTGGTCCAGTAGTAACTGGGGCGGTCTGCCTTCGGATCCATGAAGCCACGTTGGGTGGGTGTGTCAGCGATCCCGTGCATGCTGACAGTGGTGGTTTTTCTTGGTTTTCTATCACATTGTCTCCTCGTGTACATAGCTATTTTCTACTGAGCACGGGTCATGCTATATGAGCGATTATAATTTGGGGTATAGGACATTATGGTCTTCTACAAAGACTTTAACTTTTCTTCTTTCAGCAGGCTAGAGGCACCGACAGTAAACCCTGACTCACTTAAATACAGTTTCAGAAATGGAAATGAATTCAGAATGGATTTGATGAAGTTCCTGCAAGGGCTGGTCTCTGTTCATATTCATACCGACATCGTAGCCTTTCAGGGTTTCGACCCAAAGATGGGACACTTACAAGAACCCTCCCCCTTGGCAGCCCTAAGCCCGCAAAGCTGACCAAATTTTGTTCAGGTTCTCAGCCTTTCAGCTGTTTCTTCCGGATTGACTGACCCTTGAGGGAAGAACGGCCCCAACTGGAAGGCTCACTTCTCTGGGCTCCTCTTTCTTCCCGTGTTATTGGCCCCATAATATTTCACTGTCAAATTAGCACTCTGATGTCATCAATATATATGTATTTGTTACATAGATTTGTTTTTTTTTTTGCGGTACACGGGCCTCTCACTGTTGTGGCCTCTCCTGTTGCGGAGCACAGGCTCCGGACGCGCAGGCTCAGCGGCCATGGCTCACGGGCCCAGCCGCTCCGCGGCACGTGGGATCCTCCCAGACCGGGGCACGAACCCGTGTCCCCTGCATTGGCAGGCGGACTCTCAACCACTGCGCCACCAGGGAAGCCCTGTTACATAGAGTTTTGAACATTTTTGTAAGCTGTTCTCAATGGAAGGCTGACCTGAGTCACCTCTCCCTTTTACTGAACCAAACTTGGGTCCTCTTGCCCCGGGGTGGGGGGGGGCAGCAAAGCCAGGCTACTGACACCGGGTCGTGGTGAAGGAAGAAGCAGGACTCGTTGCACCAAGCAAGGGGCCTGGGAGCTAGTGTTTAAAAGACCTGAACTCTCCAAGTTCTTTCAGGGAAAGGTTTTTCTTGTTTTTTCTTTAACATCTTTATTGGCGTATAATTGCTTTACAATGGTGTGTTAGTTTCTGCTGTATAACAAAGTGAATCAGTTATACATATACATATGTTCCCCTATCTCTTCCCTCTTGCGTCTCCCTCCCTCCCACCCTCCCTATCCCACCCCGCCAGGCGGTCACAGAGCACCGAGCTGATCTCCCTGTGCTGTGCGGCTGCTTCCCACTAGCTATCTATTTTACATTCGGTATTGTGTATATGTCCATGCCACTCTCTCTTCGTCCCAGCTTACCCTTCCCCCTCCCCGTGTCCTCAAGTCCATTCTGTAGTAGGTCTGTGTCTTTATTCCCATCCTGCCCCTAGGTTCTTCCTGACTTTATTTTTTTCCCTTAGATTCCATATATATGTGTCAGCATATGGTATTTGTTTTTCTCTTTCTGACTTACTTCACTCTGTATGACAGACTCTAGGCCCATCCACCTCACTACAAATCAGGGAAAGGTATTTAAAAACTGGGTGAGGGAGAGGGTTGTGGGGTGCATGACCAGCTCGTGGACATTCTTCTGATTGGTTGGTGGTGAGGTCATCGGGAGTCAACATCATCAGCCTTCTGGTTCCAACCGGTCTGGGCTCTACGTGCTCGCGGGCAGCATGGAGTTACCTTCTTCCACCTGGTGGGGTTTCAGTATCGGCAAAACAGCTCAAAGGACGTGGCTCAGAATATTATCCATAGCCCTTGAGGAGGAACCAAAGGTCCTTGACTTTAATGGCTAAACTATTATTTTGTCTTGCTTGACTATTTTCCTTTCTGCCTTTTCTCACTTCTCGGATTAAACTTATTCTTCGACTAAAGCTTTTCTACAGACAAGAGGCAGGCAGAGGACATTGGGTGAGTGGGGTCTGTTCCCTTCCAGGAAGGCTCCATAGAGTTCTGCTTGGTTACATCCCTACGTTACCAGAGCTAAAAATAAAAGCAAAAGTAAACAATAGACGGTAAACATTTTTATATTCTATATTAGTTAAGCTTAGGTATGGATGAGAACTTTCTATTTCAGTGGTCATGAAGCCAGTTGGAGCAGTTTGAAAACGGAATGGTTTTTCCTGGAGTTGGTGAAGTTGGACATGCTTATACCTGTGGCCCAGTCTCCATGTGCCTTTCAGAGACTCTCACGTATGTGCACAAGAGAAAAGCAGGGTGTCTGTTACTCGATTAGAAACAAGTTAGTTGTCCGTAGAGAGTGGAACTAGAGAATCCTGGCTTGCTGTCGTATCTCCCACCCCCAGAGCCTCCCCTTGATGGTACAACCCCGTCCAGCTGTCCCCAGATTAAAAGTCCGACGCACCCGCTCTCCCTTCTCTCCCGTTTTCGGTGTCGAGACTATAAAATATTTCTAAGAACCGAACAACGATTTAACTCGTGGTTACTTTCACCGGCGTGGCGTAGCCTCCGACCCCAGACACCCTCCGCGGTTGGGCCCGCGTCTGCCTTCATCCCCTCCCCAGGTGACCTAACCTGGGTCTACAGGTGTCTGCAGACACACCGCTGCACTGGCAAACTTGCGCGCAGGTGTAACGCTGGCGACCTCGCAACACTGCGCCCACTTTTTAAGTGACAGCAGTTATAATCTACATCCTGTTTGAGACCAATCCCCGTGGACGGACAGGCGTCGTCCGCTTTGAGTCCCGGGAACCTTGGGGAAAAACCCGCTTAGCCCGCGACCAGAGGGTTGCCTGGCAACCGGCGGCTCCCGGCGCCCAGCGGCGCCCAGCGATGACGCCACAGGCCCGCGCCCGGCCCCGCCTCACCCCTCTCGTGGCTGCCGCTCGCCATTGGTCGGCGGGGAGACGGAGGCGGGCCCCGGCCAATAGGCGGTGCCGCTCCGGTGGGCGGGACCGCGTTACCTGGGCGCCGCGTCTGCCGGAAGCCGGCGTCGGCAGCCACGCGCAGGTAGGCGAGGGCGGCGGGTCTGGGGTGTCCTGCTTGGGTACGAGGCCTGCCGGGCAACCAGGGGCGCGCGGGGGGCTTGGCTGTCCTCCCGTCGGCGGCCTGAGGAGGACGCAGGGCCCCGAGCGCCGGCCGCGCCGGACCTCCCCACAGCCCCATGGGTGCCTCCCGCGCGTCCGCGCGACCGGCAGCCCCGAGCCAGTGAGCTCGCCTGGGGTTGGGGGGAGTGGTCCTGATGAGGAAAGGAGACGTTGCTGAGCATGGCGGAGAGAAGTGAAGCGGGGCGGGGCTCCGACCAGGGGAGGGGAGGAGAGCCCTGGGGGAGGGTCCCAGAACTGGTGGGACCTAACCCGGCTTAGGTATTTCACAACCCCTTCAGGATGCTGAGTCGGAAAATGGCCTGGAGGGGCTAGGGGCGGGGCGGAGGCCAGAGACCAGTTGGAGACTTTCGAATGATCCAGGTGGGAGACGTGGTTGGACCAGGATGCTCGCGGTAGGGGCAGTGAAGGTCCACGTCTGGATGTACTTTGGGGGTGGGGCCACCGGGGTTTACTGTGGGATGGACGGGTGTTTGAGAAAGAGGAGTTGTGGGTGACACTACGGTTTTTAACTTGAGCTGAAATACGCATTTCACCAGCTGGTTTTTTATTGAGGGGACAGACCCTGCAGGAAGATCAGGTTTGTGGAGGATGATGGGGAGTGTGGACTTGACACGTTTTAGTTTGAGACGATGTGTGTGTAGGTGATACACATGAGTTGACAGTGTAGTTGTGCAGTTCAGGGAGAAATGGGGACGTCATCAGCCTATGGTTGGTGTTTAAAGCCACACGACTAGGTGAGATCTCGGGGGAGTGCTGAGCTCAGGGCCCTTCTGTGTCCAGGGGGCGGGGAGGTGAAGAGGTGGGAGGAAAGCGGGAGAGCGTGGTGTGTCTGGGAAGCGGAGCGGAAAGGGCAGAGTCAAGAGGAGGGACCAGCTGTGGCAGATGCTGCTGGGAGGTCAGTTATGTCCAGTCAGTGATGAACAGAGATGAGCAGAGCCAGACTGGAGGTGGTGTAAGTGGTGAGGTCGCATTTTAATCAGGGGTAACTACTGCAGCAGGGGCCTTGGACTTGTGCAGGGGAGAGGGCGTTTTAAAGGGAGGGTGAGGGAGTGGCGGGGGGCGGGGGTGGCACTCTGTAGAGTTGGGAACTGGATAATTACAGTGAGCAGAAGGGGGTCGGTGGTGTGAAACCCTTCGGGGCTTGCTGACCTGGGGGGGCGGTGCTTCGGGAAGTTAGGCTCCTGCCCTCCCACAGGGGTGGGGTGAGGATGGGGCTCTGTCTTCAGGTGTGGGCTGGATCCTCTTGGTAGCCTTGAGTTTTCTCAGGCAGGAGCTTTTTAGGGGGGCTAGGGTCACTGTAAAGATGTGGCCTTGAGCTGCTAGAAACTTTTCAAGTCTGTACAGGCCCAGGTTGAGGCCTGTTGAAGGAGGGCTTAGAGGGGCCCCGACCAGGCTGTGATCAGAGAGTCTGTCGTTAGCAGACGGGTGTCCTTGGTGGTCGTTGGTGGTTTCAGTAAGAACCATCTGGGCAAGTCAGATGGCAGCCTAATGGGAGAGTGGCTGGAAAGGAGGTAGGGACCGTGCCAGTGGACAGCTCCTGAGGGTTTTCATGCAGAAAGCACCAGAAACGGGGTGGAGAGCACGTGGAATCAGGGTTTTTAGTTGTGGGACCTTGTAGTTGACTCTGTAGAAGGACAGCTGATGGGGAAGGGGAATTGCTTAGAGCCATGCATGCCCCTGGGACCAGAGCGCGGCAGAGGCTCAGCCCTGCTCGGAGCAGGCACGGTTCTGCACTGTCGCACGAGGGAACGGTGGGAGGGTCTGAGGGGAGCTTCTGGAAGCTCAGTGATCAGGAATGAACGGAGGAGGCGAGGATGTGTTGGAGGTCGGAGAGCTTGAGAGGCAAGAGGAAGAGCTGGTCGTCTGGGCGAGTGGCCGGAGTCGGGCCGCGGGGCTTGCTGGGCACCCCTCGAGGCTGGGGCTGTGCCATGTACAGTGAGACCAACCGCATGGCCCTGGGGACTTCCCGGCCAGGCCGGAACCAGAACTAGAGTTGGGGCTTTGCCAGGTGAGGGGCTGAGAGTGTTTGTAAAGGCACGATTGTAATGATGGGCCGTGGAAATGAAGTTGTGGGAACGGGAACATGAGAGGTGAGGGGCATTGAAATGTGTAGGGTCAGTGGACTGCGGGTCCTGGTGAGGCTGGAGGATCGCTGAGCCCCAGGGCACCGAGGGGGGCCAGCTGGCAAGATGGGAGGTGGGCTCAGTGGGTGGGATGCTTGGTGTTACGGGGTTTAGGCCACAGGAGGGAGGGTGTGGGGTCAGGTAGCAGAAGAGCAGAAGCTGGAGGCCGTTCATCCGAGTGGGAACTTTGAATAGTCCTGGGTCAGGGTGGACAGGAGCATGGCCGTGTCCTGGGTGCCCGAGCTGGGGCTCCAGGCACTGATTCCTGTGGATTCCTTCAGGGGGCCTTCCCTGGACCTGCCGGCTCACATCAGAGGTGACTTAGATGCACCGGGTGAGAGGGGATGTTAGGGGCTACGAGTGATACTTTCAGATTTTAAAAAAGATGTTTTCCCTGAGGCCGATTTCTGTTTTAGGTCCTGTGGAGCCCGGGCAGCCTCAGCCTGTGGGTGCTCACTTGTCCTGATCAGTGGCTCCAGCCCAGCCCGGCGCTTTGCTGTCTTCCTCCTGTCGGTCTGACCTGGGTTAGCGCCTTTCTGCTGGTGAGCTTCTTTTGCTTCACTGAACACTTCTGAGCTGGTGTCTTAAAATGGCTTTTCTTTCTTTCTTTCTTTTTTTTGGCTGTGCCACGTGGCTTGCGGGATCTTAGTTCCCTGACCAGGGATTGAACCTGCGCTCTTGGCAGTAAGAGCGCGGAGTCCTAACCACTGGACCACCAAGGAATTCCCCAAAATGTCTTTTCTTTTATTGTAGAAATTGCTGGAAAGTATAAAGGAAAGAAAGAATACTTATAATTCTACCCCCTAAAATGTTGATGTTTAATGTATTACCTTCTAGTTTTCTCCTTTGTGCATATCTGCATATAATTGTTCTTAAAGACGAGGGTCGTGTTGCACGTACACAGGTTTATAGTCCATCCTTCCACTTTACGTTGTGTCGTGAGCGCCCACTCGAGTGATGGAACAGTTGAGATCACAGTTGTTGATGGGTGTATGGGCCCGTCCCCCGGCACGAAGGAGTCAGCCGTTCCTCAGCCTGCTGCTGGACAATTACAGTGTTTTCCACTTTTTAATATTAGAGGTAGTATCATCCTTTATATCATGTCATTATCATCCTTACATAAATCTCTGTCTGTGATTATTTCATTAGGGTAAGTTCCTTGACATGGAACCACTGGGCCAAAGCACTTGATTAAATGTTATCAAATTACCTTGAGAACGGCTGTACCGATTTATTCTCCATCAGCAGGGCATGATCATGTCCTTTTCATCATCCTCTGGCTAACGCTGAATAATGTAATTTTTAAAAATCTTTGTAAAAGACATTTGATCTGTCAGATTAACTAAGTGATGTGTGCATATGGCTGAGAAACTCAGTGGTCCTGGAACCCACCACAAACCAGCAGGCAGGCTGCTCCTCAGAGGCGAGCGCAGTTTCATCTTGCCACTGTTTCTACTGGAATTACTTCCATATTTCTGAATAATAGGGAAATTGGGTGACTTTTTTTGATTTACCAATTTTAGGCCCAATCTGTTGATTTCCCCTGAGACGTGTGCCTCCGTGACCTCACCTGTGTGCCCGCCTCGTCAGTCACAAGAAGTACACGAGCTAACACGTGGAAAGCACCAGGAACAGGGCCTGGCACACGGGAAGCTCTCAGTCAAGGCCAGTTTTAGTGATGGTTATGATGCCGACCAGCTCTAATTCCTGCCCCCCAGGTCCTCCTGACCACCAGGTACAGGGAAATCTTAAGTTGGTGTTGCTCATAGAAGTTAACCTGAGTCACTGGGATTTTTGCAGAAAGGCCGGTAAGGAAAGAAAACACAATAAAGGTCTCGATGCTGTGACACAGCAACGCCAGGCCACCCATGACGGCCAGTGGACAGAGTGAGGGCGGCGAGGTCCCAACAGGCCGGGGGACGCAAGGAACGCCTTTGACGGCGTATGTACATTCACTGAAGTGGTGGTGGTAGGAAACTGTATTTTTCGCTGTTTATTTTTACAAACAGTATTGGGGCATTATGTGTGTTAATTTACAGCAAATAATTTGGGATTAGAGGTTTTTTTTGTTTGTTTGTTTGTTTTGTTTTTTTTAGCGGTACGTGGGCCTCTCACTGTTGTGGCCTCTCCCGTTGTGGAGCACAGGCTCTGGACGCGCAGGCTCAGCGGCCATGGCTCACAGGCCCAGCCGCTCCACGGCATGTAGGATCTTCCCGGACCGGGGCACGAACCCGCGTCCCCTACATCGGCAGGCGGACTCTCAACCACTGTGCCACTAATGAAGCCCTAGAGGGGTTTTTTAAAAGTATATTCACAGGGTGTGCAACCATTGCCACAAGCTAATTTTAGAACATGTTTCTTTTCCCAGAAGAAACCTGGTACCAACCAGTCACTGCCGCTCCTCCCCTTGCCCAGCCCTAAGCAAACACTAATCTGCTTCTGCCTCTGTAATTTGCTTATTCTGAACATTTCATATAAATGAAATTATACAGTCTGTAATATTTTGTGACTGGCTTCTCTCTCTTAGCGTGTTTTCAAAACGGTTCATCCATGTTGTAGCAGGTGTCAGTGCTTCCTTCCTTTTTGGCTGAATAATCTGTTGTGTGGATAGAATTCAGTTGTTCATCAGTTGATAGACATTTAGATTGTTTCCCCCTTATGGGTGTTATGACTTACACTGCTGGGAACAACCCAGTTCAGAGTTTATGTGGATCTGTTCATTTCACTGATTATTTACATCTGTAGGTAGTACTGCGTCACATAACTGTTTGACTTCTTT